GAAGTAGAGTATATTGTTTTATTACAGTGATTACATATGAATAATTGAAAATTTATATCTTCTAAATAGTAAAAAAGCCAAAGATACTGAAGAAAGAGTGCAAAGAACCACAGTTTATTACCAAAGAAGGGTAAGTTTGTGTGTGTATTTGTTCAGTGTGTGTGTGTTGTGCATGTTTAGGTGTGTATGTATATATTTATTGGAACCTGTGCCTTTATGTAGAATGGAAAGGGAAAAGTGATTCCTTTACTAGTTTTATATCTTGCTTGAAGTGTTACATGTGGTATTCAGTCATTTCCATGTTTTCAGTGCTTCAAAGCATGTGTAATAAAAAAAAAAATCTCATGTCACCATGTCTCCTGTCTTTGGCAAAAGGAATTACATTGCAGAAATAAAATTAAATTCTCAATCTCCAGTTGGGTCTCGTATTCAGCCAGGCTAGTTATTTGTTCATTGACAGTTCCTTTTGTGGCTGATTACTGACAAGGGAGCATAAACCAAAAGCGTATGGGTTACAAATTTTAGCTGCTTTTAGCGTACTTACACACAATTGATGATGTGTCCATGAAATTTTGCATAAAGTTGTGTTTACTGACACAAAATGTGTGTGAAATATTTCTTAGCTTGTGAGTTACTTCCTATGTTAAAGACAAGATGTTCTTTCTGTTTAAGAAAATTAATTTTCAAGCCTTCTGTTTTTTAGGTTATTCATTATAAGAAAAAAGCCCACCATAATTGGGTAAGTTTCAAATTGCCTTAAAGATTTTTCTATTTCTTAAAATAAATTTTGCTTTTCCTTCAGGAAGATAATGCTGGGGATTTAAATTTATGAAAATGATAGTATATAAAAACCAGTAGTGGTATTACATTCCATTTGGAGAAATAATATATTATCAAATGGTGGTTATTCCCAGTCTTCTTTCAGCACTTTTCTTCCTCAAAAGTAGCCTAGAAGAGGGTGAGAGGGTTAGAGGAACTTGGTGCATATGCTCATGTTTATGTATTTACATTTTGGGACATTGGATTGCCCCTTGTTATCTAGAGGAGCCAGAAAGGTCTCTGGACCATTTTACTCAATTGTCAAACAAATTGGATTGGAAAAAGAGCTAGCTAAAGCCCTTTCTAGTTCTAAAATTGAGGGTTCTATTAAGTGATTCTCAGTGTTGGTACAAATTAAGGAAAGGGTCATCCGGAGAACTAGTTGTCCATGCCTGCAGAGGAACTGCATGATGAGGAAGTGAAGTGGCTGTAAACTTGGAGCAGTTAGAAGGAAGAGCAGAGATGGAACTGTTGACAGTAGCTGTCCACTGGGAGTGCCTGTCACAGGGAGGTGGAGACAGCATTCAGGGATGTTTGTCAAGTGCTTGACACTGACAAACATGAAATCAATGTTAACTGGTGTTACCATTGCTATTATAGTGAAAACTTGTCGATGTTAGGCCAGTCTAAGAGGAGCATAGAATGAGAGAGTGGTATATTGAATGTCAGGTCCCTCCCCTTTCTGACATTCTGTTTGTTTTGGTTTCAAGAGTTCAAGTTTTCTTCACCATTTCTCGCCACTTTCTAAATACTTACGCATATTATTTTCAAAATTTATTCATTTTATATGAAAAGACAGATTTACAGAGAACAGGGATACAGAGAGAAAGATCTTCCATCAGCTGGTTGACTCCCCAGGTGGTCGCAATGGCTGGAGCTGAGCCAATATGAAGCCAGTTGCCAGGAGCTTGTTTTGAATCTTCCATGAGAGTGTGTGGTTTCCCAAGGCTTTGTGCCATATGTTACTGGTTTCCCAGGCCACAAACAGGGAGCTGGATGGGAAGTGGAGCAGCTGAAACATGATCTGGTACCCATATGAAATCCTGACGCATGCAAGGCAAGAATTTATTTTTTAAAGATGAGGATGATGTGTATTAAATTCTTGCTATTTTAGGCAAGACACTTAAAAGTCGCTTGCTCATGTTCCTTACTAAACCCACTTAATAAGTATAAATTGGATTATACCATTTCAGATTTTATGATGAGAAAACAGCCCAAGATCACATAATTAGATAGTGCCTGCCACCCATGTGGGAGACCCAGATTGAATCCTGGGTTCTTCTTTAGTCTGGCCTGTATCTGGCTGTATGGCCGATGAGAAGAGAACTGGTGTTGGAAAAAAAATGTCTCATTACTATTCAAATAAAAGAATAAGAAAGGTCTTGTGATTATTGCATGCTGTTGATATTCACTAGATTGTGCAAGCTTTGTTCTCTGTGACATTTGATTTTATCTTTACCTCTTACTGAATAAAATGGGATATGATTTATGCAGCGCCATGAACTTACTAAAAGTACAACATGCATTGATAATTTCATCTATTTTTTTTTAAAATAGCATTTAGCCACATGCTGCAAAACTGTTTTAGACCTTTATGGTTTCACAGAATCATAGTGAATTTTCTGTAGAGATGATGGCCTTGAGGCAACTATGCAAAGCTGCCATGTGTAATGATTCTGAGTCTGTGTTGCAGTTGCCTGAGGCTTGCATCCTCCCACATTGCCCTTAGCCTATTACTTGACTGATCAAACAGTCCTCCATCTCACATCAGAGAGCAGCATTCATTGGCAAGTGCACAAGTCATCTCCAGTTTTAGGTCCATGTCATCTGCTTACCTGAAATATTTCCTTTTCTAAAAGATCCTTCAATTCAAAATGTTTTATCTGCATTTCGTATAAGTGGATGCATACATTGACAGTGATATGTGTATGCTCTGGGATGTTCATGCTCATTTTCATCTAACATTTGTCTGCATGTCTCTCCGTCTTTTGTTATTTTTCAGTGGGCAGCTCGGTTTGCCGAGAGAGAACTCCATAACTTTAAGAAAGAAAATGTATATAAAAGCAAAAAGTAAGTTTCTTAGTGGTAACACTTAACAACTTTTAGCTCTTTTATTGTCACTTTCTTAATTAGGTAATATTATAAGGATAAATAATGAAATTTCAGTGAATCCAGCATTTTTCATTGTGAAGTATTTACTCGTTTTGACCATAGTTTTAAATATTTACGTCACCTGAGTGTTTAATTTTCCTTCATAATGCTTTTTGCATTATATAATTGGATCCACTTCAGTTTTCCGTGTGCAAATTGCCACTGCCCAGTTATTCCTCATCTTCATGAAAAAAATGTCATTTGCCTTATTGTCAAGTTGACTGCTAAAGCCATGCTTTTCTTCTGTTACGTGTATTAGTAAGATTTTTGTGATGCTATAACACTTGAGAGGAACTTCTTAAGAACGTAGATTTATTTTGCCTCACAGGAGACACATCATCAAAAATTGTGTGATGTTTTGGGTTCAAGATCTGTTGTGGCACCTGTACAGTAGAGTAGCCATTCATTACACAGCCAAGTAGTCTCTTACTCCATCACTGCACATTCCCTTAAGCCACAAATAAGTTTGATAACAGATATGATGTTAAAACAAAGACAAAACTAAACAAAAATACAGTACCATAGAGTTGAACAAATAACCAATTCATAGGTGACGAAAAGAAAACATGGAAGTCTGCTTTTCATGATGGTTTCCTTATATTAGAGAGAACATATGATATTTATCCTTTTGGGTTTGACTTATTTTACTGAAGATGATGGTCTCTAGTTGTGACCATCTAGTTGCAAATGATATGATTTCCTTCTTTTTATTGGCTGAGTAATACTCCATAAAATAGAGGTACCACTCTTTAACCACTCCTCTTTGCACTTGCATCCAGATTGTTTCCATGTATTTTCTACTGTAGATTGTGTTGCTGTGAATATAGGATTACAGCTGCCTCTCATATATGCAGTATTCATTTCCTTTGGGTATATTCCTAGGAGTGGGATACCTGGTTCCTGAGGCAGGTTCATTTGCAATTCTCTAAGTACTATCTATACTGATTTCCATAATTGCCGTACTAGCCTGTACTCCCACCAGCCGTGAAGGAGGATATTTTTCTTCCCACTCCCCTGCAAGCAGGTGTTGTTAGTTGAGTTCTGAATGTAGGCCAATCTGAATGGAGGTAGATGGTACCTCAGCATGGTTTTAATGTGTATCTCCCTGACTGCTAGGGAGCCTTAGTATGTTTTAATATGTCTGTTAGCCATTGGATCTCTTCTTTTGAAAAAAAAACCACTGTTTATATCCTTTGCCCATTTTTCACAGGGTTGCTTTATTTATTCATTTATTTTCTGTCCCTGGGTTTCTGAAGCTCTTAGTAAATCCTGGACATTAGTCCCCTATCACCTGTGTAATGTGCAAAAATTTTCTCCTATTCTGTTAATTGCCTCTTCATTTTGTTAATCATTTCCTTTGCTGTATGGAAGAATTTTAATCCCATTTATTTATTTTGTCTTTGTCTACCTATGATTTTGGGGTCTTTTCTAAGAAGTCTGGTTCCATTCCTATTCCTAGGAGAGAGCTCCCTCTATTTTTCTTTAATACTTTGATGGTTTCTGGATGTAGATTTAGGTCCTGAACCATTTAGAGCTGATTTTTTGTACAATGTGGCAAGTGCAGGTCTTGTTTCTTGATTCTGCAGGCTGCTATCCAGTTGTCCCAACAGCATTTGTTGAATTGCCAAGAATTTTTTTTCCTGGATTATTTTCAGTTTTCTTGTCAAAGAGTAGTTGGTAATACATGTGTGGGTTCCCTTCTGATGTTTCTACTCTATTCCATTGATATTCTCCTCTGTTTCTGTACCAGTACCAGACTGTGTTGATGACCATTGCACTGTAGTATGTCTTGAGGTCTGGAACTGTGATTCCCTCTGCTTGATTTTTATTCTTCAGGATAGCTTTGGCTATTCGTGGTCTCTTGTGTTTCCAGATGAATTTTTGTATCTTCTATTTCTGAAAGGATGCTGTTGGGATTTTGATTGGGATTGCATTGAATCTGTATATTACTTTTGGTAATATGGACATTTTGATGATGTTGATCCTGCCAATCCAGGAATATGGTAAATTTCTCCACTTTTCAATGTCTTCTTCTATTTCCTTTTTAAATGTTTTATGGTTTTCATTATAGAGGTCTTTCACATATTTGGTTAGCTTAATACCTAGATATTTAAGATTTCTCTCTGCTTTAGGGACTGTATTTACAATTTCCTTCTCAGCCATGGAATTACTTGTGTACACTAATGCCATTGATTTATGTTCATTAATTTGTATCCTGCTACCCTGCCAAAGTCTGAGTTTTTGGATTCTCCTATGTAGAGGATCATTTCATCTGCAAATAGAGATACTTTCAGTTCCTCATTTCCAATTTGAATTCCTTTGATTTCATTTTCTTGCCTAATAGCTTTGTTATGGACATCCAATACTATATTGAATAATGGTGACAGTGGACATCCCTGTCTAGTTCCAGATTTTAGTGGAAAGACTTCCAGTTTTTCTCTATTTAGTATGATGCTGATATTGGCTTTGATTGTGCTGTAGAATGTTCCTTCTATACTGATCTTGCTTAGGGTTTTCATCATGTAATGGTAGTGGATCTTATCAAATGCTTTCTCTGCATCTATTGAGATGATCATATTTTTTTTCAATTTGTTGACATGATGTATCACATTTATTGATTTATGAATGTTGAACCTTTCCTGCATGCTTGGGCTGAATCCCACCTGGTCCCCGTGAATGATCTGCCTGATGTACTGTCAGTTCCTGTTGGCTAGTATTTTGTTGAGGATCTTTGCATCTTTGTTCATCAAGGATATTGGTCTACAGTTCACTTTTTCGTTGTTTTTCCACCTGGCTTTGGTATTAAGGGCATATTAGATTCATAGAGTTTGAAAGGATTGCCTCCATTTCTGTTGTTTGGAAAAACTTGTGGAGAATTGGAGTAAATCCTCTTGAATAGTTCCTCTTGAAAAGGTTTTTAGAACTCAGCAGTGAAACCATCTGGTCCAGGACTTTTCTTGGTCAGAAGGGTTTTAATTTTGAATTCAATTTCAGTCCAACGTATAAGTCTATTTAGGTTGTGAATTGCCTCTTGATTTAGTTTTGTGGCTGTATGTGTCCAAAAATCTGTCCATCTTTTCTGCATCTTCTGATTTGTTTGCATATAGTTGCTTGTAATAGTTCCTAATATTTTCCTGAGTGTCTGAGCTCTGTATTATTATATTTTTTCTCATCTCTGATGCTATAGATGCTTATCTTCTCACTCCATTTTTTGATTAGTTGGGCTAGTGGGGAGTCTATTTTATTGATTTTCTCAAAGAACCAGCTCTTTAATTTATTGTTCTCATATATAGTTCTTTTGGTCTCTCTTTAGCTAATTTCATTCCTTATTTTGATTATTTCATTTTTCCTACTAATTTTGGATTTCTTTGCTGCTGTTGTTTGGATCCTTCAATTGTAGGATTAACTAATTTATTTGGCTCCTTTCCAGTTTCTTTTTTTTTAAAGATTTATTTTTATTATTTTTTATTGGAAAGGCAGATATACAGAGAGGAGAGACAGAGAGGAAGATCTTCCATCCCATGATTCACTCCCCAAGTGAGCGCAAAGGCCGATGCTATGCCAATCCGAAGCCAGGAACCTCTTCCGGATCTCCCACACGGGTGCAGGGTCCCAAAGCTTTGGGCCGTCCTCGACTGCTTTCCCGGGCCACAGGCAGGGAGCTGGAAGGGAAGTGGGGCTGCCAGGATAGAACCGGCGCCCATATGGGATCCCGGGTGTGCAAGGCAAGGACCTTAACCACTTGCGCCACTGCGCCGGGGCCCCTTTCCAGTTTCTTAACATAAGCATTGACTGAGATGAACTTTCCTCTTAACACTGTCTTGATTGTATCCCAAAAGTTTTGGTTTGTTGTGTTGATGCCTTCATTTGTTTCAAGCAGTTTTAAAATTTTCCCTTTGATTTCTTCTCTAATCCATCAATCATTTAGTAACATATTATTCAGTCTCCATGTGTTTGCAAGTCTTCTTGGGTGTTTCGACTTTTGGTCTCTATCTTCACTCCATGATGGTCTGAGAAGATGCATGGGATGATTTCAATTTTTTTTTTTTTAATTCATTGAGGCTTGTTTTGTGGCCTGTAACATGGTCAGTTCTGGAGAAGGTTACATGTACTGATGAAAAAAAAAAGTGCATTCTCTGTAGGGTGAAAGTTTTGGTAGATACCAAGTAAACCCATTTGTACTAGAGTTTGGGTGATTCTGTTGTTTCTTTGCTGAGTTTCAGTCTCGTGGAACTGTCCATTGATGTTAATGTGGTATTAAAGTCCTCATTATGAATGTATTGGAGTCTATTTCTCCCTTTAAATCCATCAATATTTGTTTCACATAGCCAGATGCCTTAGCATTTGGTGCATGTACATTTATTATATTGATCTCTTCTTGCTGAATGGATCCTTTGATCATTATGTGGTGTCCTCCTTCATCTCTTTTGATGCTTTTCACATCAAAGTCTATGTCATCTGATGTAACAACAGCTTCACCCACACGTTTTTCTTTATCATTTGCTTGGAATATCTTTTCCAACTTTTCCCTTGCAGTTTCCTCTGATCTTTGTTGGTGAGATGTGTCTCCTGCAAGCAACAGATAGATGGAGTTTGTCTTTTGATCTAGTCCTCTGATCTATAGTGTTTGATAAGTTTAAGCCACTTACATTCAGTGTTAATATGGATAGGTGGCAGTTTGGTTCTGTCATTTTAGCAATGGGTTGTTCTTTGATTTAGTCTTCTGCTAGTTTTTTAGTGGGATGTTCTCCAGATTTGCCTTTGGTTTTGGTAGTTGCTATTCCTTTTTGCTTTCACGAGAACATCTGTCATATCATTTGCAAGGCAAGTCTAGAAAGCAGTTTCTTGGATTTATCTTTGCTGTGGAATAATTTTGTTTCATTTTCAAAGACAAAGGAGAGTTTTTCAGGATACGGTACTCTGGGCTGAAAATGTTTTCCTTTTTGAATCTAGAATAAGTCACTCAATTCTCTTCTGGCATTTAGTGTTTTCTCTGAGAGGTCAACTGTGAGTCTGGGGTTCCTCTATAGATCATTCATTTTTTTTATGTGTGCATTTAAGGATCTTTCCTTACGTCCGACTGAAGAGAGCTTGGTTACATGTGTCGTGGTGAGGTTCACTTTTGATGAACTCTGTTGGGAGTTTTATGACCCTCCTGTGTATTGTTTCCCAATTCTTTTCCAGCTTTGAGAACTTCTCATGTATTATTTCTTTGAATACATCTTTAATCCCAGCTTCTCTTTCTGCACCTTCTGGAACTTCCATAACTCTTAGGTTGGGTCTTTTAACCGTATCTTTTAATTCTTGGATACGTTTTTGTTTGTTTGTTTGTTTGTTTGTTTGTTTGTTTTTTAGTTTGACCTTGCTCTGCTTCCAGCTTTTTGATTGTTTCCTCCTGTTGACAGGAAATATCTTCCAATTCTGAAGTTCTTTCTTCTGCTTCATTCATTCTATTTTTGAGAGTCTTCATTGTACTTTTAATTTGCTCCATTGTGTACTTAATTTCTGATATATCTGCTTTCATTTGATTCATTGCTATTATTTACTTTCTAACATATTCCTTAAATTCCTTGTGCTTCTCACTGTTTAGAAAGTTTATAATGGGGCCCGTCTGTGTGGCCTAGCAGCTAAAGTCCTTGCCTTGAACGCACTGGATCCCATATGGGTGCCAGTTCTAATCCCGACAGCTCTGCTTCCCATCCAGCTCCCTGCTTGTGGCCAGGGAAAGCAGTTGAGGACGGGACCCTGCACCTATGTGGGATACCCAGAAGTTGAGCTTTGGGACCCTGCACCTATGTGGGATACCCAGAAGTTCCTGGCTCCCGGCTTCAGATCAGCACAGTACCGGCTGTTGTGCTCACTTGGGGAGTGAATCATTGGACAGAAGATCTTCCTCTTTGTCTCTCCTCCTCCTCTCTGTATATCTGACTTTGTAATAAAAATAAATAAATCTTTAAAAAAAAAAGAAAGTTTATAATGAGTTCTCTGAATTCTAAGTTCCCATTTTTTTAAGGGTCTTCCTCAGTTAATTCTGAGGATGGTCAAGGCTTTTCCTCCTTTGCTGGAGAGTCTTCAGTAACAATCATAGTGCCTCTGTGTCTTCTTTTACCTCTTGACATTGCAATTCTGGTTGGCAGATTCATCTCCTTAGTGCAGATTTCTAAGATGTATTACTTGGCTGCCACAAGAGTCGAGCCATGGCTGCCGCTAGATCCTTGGCTGTCCACTGGGGTCTGTATTGTTGTTCACCAGCCACTGGTAGGGATTGCTGTTCACTGCAACACTGCTCCAGCATTGCTGCCACTTCCCTTTGTCCTGAGGGTCTCCAGGTACCCCATGTGAACTGCCTGACCCCCCCCCTTTTTTTTTCCTGTAATCTGTTTCTTGTGGTTCTCTGTCAAACAACACTAATTTTTCTGTCACCTGGTTAGGTGGTCAGGAGGTTTGTTGGCTGCTGCCACCTTGTGGGTGACAGGTGCTTTCACTCTCCTGGGTACTCACCTTTCCTACTGTGGGGCAGATATGGGGCTCCTATAGATTAGATAGTTCTGACAGTGGAGTGGCTGTTCAGAGTGTTCTAGCTGGCGAGGGTCCCCCACCACCTTGTTTTTTTTGTGGCCTCTGCCTGCCAAACTGGTGCCTTGAGTGGGAGTGGTCCAGCTCCTGCCACACAGTGTGTAATCAGCAGCTAGCCTTTCTACACTCCGAAGGCACTGTGTCTTCTCTCAATTGCGATGGGCAAGTGATAGCAGGCTTTGTGCTTTTGTTCTCAAACACCCACTGCCACCAGCCAGGCAGTTGACTTTGTTACAGCACCACTCTTGTTTACTCCTGGGATCTGCCCTCCCATTTCTGGGTTGCCAAGAGAAGCCTTAGTCTCTGAGAGAGAACTTTATCCCCTAGGAGCCTCAAGTCTCTGTTTTGGGTGATTAGGTCCAAGAGAGCTTTCAGGTGGGGATAGGCTCAGATTCCACCACATGAGCCTTCGAAAAGTGACTCACCAGTTCCTCTTTTTATTTGTTTTTCATTGTCTGCGACAGTGTTTACCCTAGATGGTGCCTGCTTCCACCAGTTCACGTTGCCATTTGCTGTGTTGGGAGGTTTTGTTTTTGTTTTTCTTTTTGCTTTTTGTTTATTTTCAATCCTCGATGTCTACTTGTCCCCTGCCTTGATCATGCCAACTCTGGGGAGTTTCAGATGCCTTTTCCAGCAATTCTACTCTTCCTGTTCTCTACTCCTCCAATTTTTGTCTGTATTTCTGCACGCATTTAGCTATGTCAGCTACCTTCCTAGACTCCGATCATTAACTTTCAATTTTCAGGTATAATTTCATGAAATCAGCGAGACAAATCACAGCATTTTTTTATTCATTCTGTAATTAAATTTTGGCAGCTTTCTTATACTCATTTTTTTTCTTTTTTTGTCTGTATGTGTTTATTTTTATGAACTTTCTTGACACAGATTCCCTGTTCCACCTCTGCTTTCTTGCTCCATGTCTTCCTCCCATCAATTTCCCTCATATTGTTACAGTAGTACAGTCCTTCAGCAACAATTGCTGGTCAACATTCTGCTTTTTAATGTAGACATCTGTATCTATTCTCCAGATAAATTTATTGACTAAGTTCTCCTTTTGTTTGAGAGAGAGATAGAGTGACCTTGCATCTGCTGGTTGATTCTTCAGATAGCTACAACAGCCAGGGCTGTGCCTGGCTGAGGAACTACATGTAGGATTCCCACATCGTTAACCACCAATCTAAAATGACTGGAACACAGTTTATTGTGGCTGACTCCAGTGTAACAAATATAATGCTGCTTTATATAGGAGTCTGGATAGATATTATATGTATTTATATGTAAGATTATTTTAAGAGGTTTTGCTTTGAAATTTGAGTTTGTAATGTTAATTCTATATCAGAAATGCTTCCATATTAGTTTTCATGTTGTGTTTGCAGTGATGATTATGGATATTTTTATGGGAGGCTCCAATTTTGGTACAGTTAAAACATTAAAGTCTTTAATTATGACATGCCTTAAATATATTATAAATTTTCACTTTTGCTTTAAGGTACCTGATGGTCGAGGAAAACTGCCAGATAGATCAAAAGCCTGGTGTGTCATTTGTGGATGAAGATCGTAACTATAGAAGAAAAGAAATCTTAATCTATAGGTATTCAATGCCTTTTCTCTTGTGGACGAAGCATATCTAAAGCTCATTTCTAGAAAATAATGGCAAAGCATCTGGAAAGAAGTGGGACACTTTTGTCAGTCAGTTCAATTTTCTTTGTATTAAATCTAGTTTTTGCCTTGAATAGTTTAGTTACTTCTTTTTATATTAGATAAGTTAATATTACTTTTTACCAAAAATTATTTTGGAATCATTTATTTACTTGAAAGGCAGAATTAGAGTGTGAGAAAAAGGTGAAATGAAAAAAGAGAATAAGAGAGACAGTGAAGCTTCCATCTGCTGGTTCACTCTCTAAATGGCCATAAGAGTCTTGGCTGAGCCAGCGTGAATTCTGGAGCCAGTACCTTTCACTTGTTCTGCCTCATGTGTACAAGGGTGCCAAGCATCAGGCTATCATCCTCCACATTCCCAGGAGCATTGTCTGGGTGTTGGATTTTATGTGAGGCAGCTAGACTAGAACAGTTGCCAATATGGAATTACTGTGATACAGGCAGTAGGTACAGCCCATTGTCTCATGGTGCTGCTCCATTTTACTAGTATTTTTTAAGGTGACCAGAACTTTATGGGGGATTTCATTAATATCCTATGATTATATTAAGATTATAGATATCTATATACAGGTAAATCTGTGAGCATCATTCATGTTAAAACAGACATACACTATACTGCACATAGTATACATTTTGAGCTTTGTTTTGGGCTAGCATAAATAATAGAATTAATGTTAGTATTTTTTAAATGGGCATAAAGACTTATAATTTTGATTGCATATAAATATGGGAGTAATTATTTGTTCTTCATAGAAATAGAATCAATGATCTTGAAAAAGAACTTCACAGAACATTTCGTTATTACCAGGAAGAGGTAAGTGTGTGCGTATGTGTGTGTACACTTGTGTTTACTTGTTCCTGTGAATTTATGTTGGATGGAAAGGGAAAAGTGATTCCTTTGCTAGTTTTATATCTTTCTTCTGGTGTTACATGTGGTTTTCAGACACTTCCATGTTTCATTGATTCAAAGAATATGAGATATGAAATTTTAAGAGTCATCATGTCTCCTATTTCTTTGGAAAAGCAGAATTACATTGCAGACATAAAAATAGATTTTAAATCATTGGTAAGGTGTCATATTCAGCCAGGTCAGTTATCTGCTAATTGATAGTTCCTGTTGTGGCTGATTAGTGCCCAGCGAGAATAAAGTAGATATTTATCATATAAATTTTAGCTGTGTTTAAGTGTACTTACACAATAGATGATGTATACATGGAAAGTTGCATAAAATTGTGTTTACTGACACAAGTGTGCTTGGAGTGTTTCTTAACATGTGAGTTACTTCCTATGTTATTAATAGATATGCTTTTTATTTAAGAAAACTAATGTTTCAATGATATTGTTTTAGATTGTTTCTGTTCAGAAAGAAACCCACAGTAATTGGGTAAGTTTCAAATGCCCTTTTTAATCTTTTCTTTGAATTAAATTGTGTATTTCATTCAGAGAGGATTAGGGTTAGTTAAATTTATGAAAGGTAGTGTGTAAAAGATTTGGCCAATTTTATTTGCATCAATAATGGAATTATGTTTATTATGAGCTTTAAATTCTAAGTTGTATTATGATTGTTCCCACAGTCTTCTTTTAGCATTTTTCTTCCTCAAAAGTAGCCTAGAAGAGGGTGAGAGGGTTAGAAGAACTTGGTGCATATGCTCATGTTTATGCATTTACATTTTGGGACATTGGATTGCCCCTTGTTATCTAGAAGGGCCAGAAAGGTCTCTGGACCATTTTACTCAATTGTCAAACAAATTGGATTGGAAAAAGAGCTAGCTAAAGCCCTTTCTAAAAGCTCTAAAATTGAGGGTTGTATTAAGTGATTCTCAGTGTTGGTACAAATTAAGGAAGGGTCACCCGGGAAACTAGTTGTCTGTGCCTGCAGAGGAACTGCATGATGAGGAAGTGAAGTGGCTGTAAACTTGGAGCAGTTAGAAGGAAGAGCAGAGATGGAACTGTTGACAGTAGCTGTCCACTGGGAGTGCCTGTCACAGGGAGGTGGAGACAGCATTCAGGGATGTTTGTCAAGTGCTTGACACTGATAAGCATGAAGTCAATGTTAACTGGTGTTACCATTGCTGTTACAGTGAAGACAAGTCTGAGAGGAGCATAGAATGAGAGAGTGGTATATTGAATGTCAGGTCCCTCCCCTTTCTGACATTCTGTTTGTTTTGGTTTCAAGAGTTCAAGTGAAGATTCATTAGTGAATTAGCTAGGATCATTATAGATTCAGTTTTCTTCACCATTTCTCACCACTTTCTAAATACTTATACATGTTAATTTTTAAAGATGAAGAAGCTTTTTTTTTAATTCTTGTTATACTAGGCAAAGTACTTGAAAGTATTTTGTATATATAGGTATGAAATCCATTTAATAACTGCAATTGGATTTTATCATTGCAGATTTTATAGATGAGAAAACAACCCAAGGACACATGATCATTTAGATTCTTGTCTTTTACAGTTTCTATTAGTTTGCATTGAATATTTGTTTAGTACGTGTGACTTTGTGTTCAAACATATAGAAAGTGTGTTCCCTACTTGTGGCCTAGAAAAGCAGTGGAGGTTGTCCCAGTGCCTTGGGACTCTGCACCCACATAGAGGACTGTGAGGAAGCTCCTAGCTGCTAGCTTCAGATCAGCTCAGCTCTGGTCACTGTACCTCTTAGGAAGCAAAACCATGGATAGAAGATCTTTTGTTCTCTGTTCATTTCTCTCTGTCAATCTGCCTTTCCTAGAACATTAAATAAAACTTTGAAAGTATCTACACATTTGATGAAACTTGCTTTGTTTCCAGATTTTTACCTGTATAATTTCAACTGTTACTTTCTTCATTGACCACTTCTTTGTTCCATCCTTTTGGATTAACTTTATTTTCTTTAAACTTGCATAGTAGTCTCTTTCATGGTCTGTTGAATACACTGTTCTTTACTGAGGTCATTTAAAATATATTATTCACATACACAAAGTTAAGAAATGTCATATATTTCACATGCATGATTTTAAAAATATGCTTTCTACATTATTCTTGTCCCCTCTCTCCTTCCTACTTTGTTATTTTTGTTTTAGTTTTTAAAATTATATACTTTCCATTTTCTTTACAATCATATGCTTTACCTTTCCTTCATTAATTGAATAATTCAATCTATAATAATTAGAAAATTAATGTTCTTCAGCAGAATAAATGATAGTGTTCTTCAGCCATAAATGATAGTGAAATAACAAAATATTTAATGTATTTGTTGCACTCTGTATGTTTTTATGCAAAATTAGGGAAAGAATAGATGTCTTTTGGTGACTGACATAACAAGTAAGCGTAATGGTCACCAATTCCATAATATTGTTGTGAAAGACAAAGTTTACTTTAATGTGTGAATACTGTTCCATTATACATGCGTGTGAAATGAGTATAAAGACTTGAGAAACAATTAGGTGGAGAAAGATAAGGAGAAAGAAGTGGAAAAAGAACGAGGCAGGGAGAGAGATGGCATGCAAAAGTGAAGTCATTATTTGGTTTAGTTCTCTGAAAGCTAATCTACTTGTGCAATTTTCTGAGACTACTGAAGCTCAGTTTGGAACTCCGTCTATGTCTTTCATGCAGGTGGCAAGGGATCCATTGCCACTAGTTTCCAGTGTTTGGAAGCCAGAAGCAGGAGATGGAACCATAAACTGAACCCAAGTTCTCTAAAGTGGGGCATGGCTGTCTTTACTGTCCGCTTGCCTTCAACACCCAACAACAGCAGCCCTTACTGTGATCATTCTTTGTGTCTTTACCCTGAGAGAGTTTCAAGTTCCATTAGTGAGTGAATGTCCCTGTTTCCTTAGCAGACCTCTCAGAAGGCTTTATAGGTGTGAGTGCTCAGTGTTTGAACACAGTGTTTTGAAGCATAATAGTCATTGGCTGAAATTTGTCTTAACCTTTGAGAATAAGCTGTAGACTCAGAAGTAGGTGGGCAGTTCATGTGGCAGTAAAGATGCTGCTTAGGATACCTGGTCCTCAGTTGGGCCGCCTGGCTGTGTGCCAGATGAGGAGTCAACAGGTGTATGGAAAAAGTCTTCCATTGCCATTCAGATAAAAGAGTAAAAGAAGTCTTAACTATTGGCTGTGACTTTGTATTTATTTATTTTTGGCACCATGTCTTTGATATTAGTAGTGTCTTGCCTATATAGTTTTCTGCCTTCTAATTATCAAGTAGATATGTTACAGTATTATACAAAACATTCAGAAATAATTTTGTTTCCACATTATTATTCATTCAAAAACTGGGTGATTTTAATAACAGGATCATTGTGACATAGTTTTTCAGAAAAAATGATGACGTCATTTTGTGTTGGGGAAAGATTTTTATATGTAATCTTTTTGGATGGAAAGCACTACAAATAATTTGTGAATATTTGATCTATTCTTTGGCTGAGTTACTTTCAACAATTTGATGAATCATAAGTTAACAAATTTCATGTTGTGTGTGCTTATATGCATAAAAATTTGAACTGTGTGATTTTCAGTTGTATATTACAAAAGTATGTACGAAGTGATTTTATCGACCTTTATATGATGAACTGGTGGATTTTGATAGTTTGGTTAGTCAAATTTTCTAAGTAACTACTGCATCTAACCTCTGTATTCCTCAGAATACATTTAACTTTTCCATGTTAATTTTTTTGTGGTTATTGAATATGGTTGAAAGTTACCATGTTGTATAATTTGTTTTGCCAGTATTTTATCTTTTGTGAAATAAATGGGTTAGTATTTACACTATAGTGAGTTTTTTCTAAAAATGATAGCCTTGAGGCAAATAAGCAAAGCTGCCTTTGATAATGACTCTGAGTCTCTATTTGCATTGCCATAGCTCATGGAATATTTCTTGATTAATCAAACATCCTTCATCTAACATGGGGAGCTTAACATTCATTTACAAGTGCACAGTAGGCTTCATTTTTATGTTCACATTATTTTCTTACTCATTTTCTTTTTCAATAAATCCCAAAAATTAAAATCTTTTATTTAGATAAGATTTTTAATAAAAGTGATATGTGCATTGACTATGATATTTGTACACTCTCACTAAGATGCTGTTGCTCATTTTAATCTAAATTTTGCATATATGTTTACCAATATTTTGTTATCTTTAAGTTGGCAGCTTGTATTGCTGAAAGAAGCCTGAATGACTTGAAGCAAGAAAATAAAAGGAAAATGTAAGTATATCAGTGATAACACTTGAAAACTTTGGCTACTTTATTCTGCTTTATGAAATAGTTAATTATTTTGTAAGGATAAATAGGAAAGGGTACGGTGAATCTTGCATGTTTCATTTTGAAGTATTTACTCATTTTGTGGCTGTTGTTTAAGTTCTTGGGTCACTGGAATATTATTTGAAAGAACACAGCTTTCCTACAAAATTTTAAAGTTTTCCATCTTTGATATTAATATGAACGAAGTTAGGTAGCTTGTTCATTGTCACTATTTTGAAAGCACATCAAAAATGTCCAAACCAAGTAGAAAAGGCAATTAAAATTTGTGCATTTTGAAAGTGAAATTCCAAAGATATTTCCATTATTGTCTAAGTGATATCAAGAAAATGAAAACAAATTTCACAAATAACAAAAAATATGTTGATAGCTTCAATAAATAGAATGAAATAAAGCTTTGAAATTCTAGTCCTTTATTGCACATTCAGTTTTTGAAATTTCTGGACATTCTCAGTTTCTGATTGAATTTGTTCATTCATCTCTTGGGATATTATTTGATACTAAAATATTTTTGGGGGGAAAATTGTTGAAGTAATATTTATACTTTTAAGGTAGTGTTATTTCTATTATGTGAATATTCAGTATATTTTTGCTTTAAACATAATGATACTGTGAGGCCAGGTCAGGAAAATTAAGAGGACATGCGTGACTGCATTAGTCCTTACATGCATCTCTGATTACACAAACACACACACACACACACACACACACACACACACACACACATATCATTGATTCAACTTTCCTGGGCAGATTGCTCCTGCTGTTGTTGGGTTTTTGATGCCAAGTACAGCAACAACCTCAATCCTTGTTTCGCAGGAAAGAAGAATTTTTATGCAGACACAGTTTAGTTGTGTGTTTTTTTTTTCTTTTTATTGATTGCATTGCATTATGTGACACAGATTTATAGGCACTGGGATTCCCCCTGCACAATTCAGTTTTAAAGCAAGATTTATTAGAAAAGTTGAGAAAGGAAACTCCCATCCTAGTGATGGGAGGGGGCTCTGAGATAGAAAGGACCCTTACCCCCTGCCATAGTGGCGAAGGAGAAGTGGAGAAAAAAGAGACCCTAGTCCTCTGCCATAGTGGCAGGAGGAAAAATGGAAAAAAAGACCCATATTAATGGTGGGGAATGCATCTTTTAAAGGTTTACTTTCAAAGGGGCTCTCCAAGGAAGAAAGGAAATTCCTGGTCCCCCTGGTATCTGGCTTTGGGGCAAAAGACCAGACAGGTGTCAGGCCTTGGGAACAAGTGTATTACTTCCCCCAGTCCTTTAGTGATAAGGAGACCAGCCTGAGGCCCTCCCACACAATGGCTGGAGATAATGGCTGATACTTCAGGTTGAGGAATTGATATGCTAAAGCACCCTTGTTCCTTGGAAGAGATGTGTTCTGGTGAATCCCAAGACATGGTGGGGAAAATACTCTTTTATATTTGAGTAAAAATGACTTGGGGACCCAGAATACCCTAACTGCCTACTGCCCAGTCTAACTCCTCTCATCCTGCCAAGTGCTCCTTGACTCATAAAAGCGGGTTCATTTGCTTGGTTGATCAGAGTGACTGCTCAAGCCACCCTTGACTTCTGGTTTTATATTGTGTAAGCTTTTAATGACTATTTGAAGTACTGACTAGTATTATCTTAGGAAGGAAGATTTGTTTTGGCTAACAGGCTCTAGATACACTATCCAAAACTGAGTGGCTTCATGGGTCCAGGACTGGTGAGGGTGGAGAACAGTGGAGAGCCCATTCATTACAAAGCAGACAAGGAAGCAGAGAGCGATGTGAAGCATACTAAGTCTCTGTAACCTACCTGCTTTCTCTTGAGAAGCACCTCCCCGTTAGTGCCTTGGGATTTCTCATTAGGCTCATGCACAGCCCAGTTGCCATGAATAGGTTTAATCTCCACCATCAATTCACTGTATTGTTAGTCATTGAATATTGGAATATAAATGGCATGAAATTAAGGATCTAAATTGTAAATTCTATATTTATTCTATTGCTGAATATTGGCAGTTTTCTTAGAAACCCTATTCCCCTATTTTGGTGTTTTTTGTTTGTTTGTTTGTTTTCTGTGATGCTTTTTTCTTTTGTTTTGTTTAAGGATTCTCCCATCCTCTCCCATTCATCTTTCCCCATTCCTCCTAACCATTTCTCTCCTAGGTTCACAATGTTACAGTCCTTCAGGAGTAGTCACAAGTCCAACATTCTTTCTTAAAATGTCTATCCTGGCACAATGGGAATTTACCTGCTTGGGAGTCCTTCTTTTATTCAGGAGTAGAGATGCATACAGAAATATTTATTCACTCCCAGTATTCTAGTCTCTATTGTGCAGTTGATATAAGAGAAAAATATATACATATATTTATCTGTTTACCAATATATATATTTGTTTTGTGTAGTTGCATAACATTGCCTTATTTCAGAGAGAACATATTGTATTTTTTTCCTTTTGGAACTTGTTTATTTCGCTAAGCATAGTGCGCTCCTCTCCAATTGCAAATAGTGGACTGTTGCTATTGGTAGATTTTCATTATTTTTTAATGGATATATATGTTTTGATAAAGTAGATATACCACTTTTTTGTAACCATTGCAATTTCTATGGACACAGATTATTAGTATATGATTGCTGTCATGGATTGTGCTGGTCACTTTCTCATATTCAGAGTCCAATTCATATGGATATATTCCCAGAAGTGGGATACCTGAATCATATGGTAGATCAGTTTCCACTTGCCAAAGCACTCTCCATACTGATTTCCATAGTGGCTGGACAAGGTAGTCTCCTCACCAAAATGGAGCAGGTGTACCCTTCCCCCTCATTCTAAAGTCCTCGCCTTGCATGCGCCAGGATCCCATATGGTCACCAGTTCTAATCCTGGCAGTCCTGCTTCCCATCCAGCTCCCTGCTTGTGGCCTGGGACAGCAGTTAAGGATGGCCCAAAGCCTTGGGAGCTGCATCCACGTGGGAGACCCGGAAGAGCTCCTGTCTCCTGGCTTCGGATTGGCTCAGCTCCAGCAATTGTGCTCACTTGGGGAGTGAACCTTTGGACAAAAGGCCTTCCTCTCTGTCTCTCCTCCTCTCTGTGTATCTGCTTTGCAACAAAAATAAATAAATCTTTTAAAAAGTAGTGTGTCTTAATTCTTGAATATTTTTCCTAGCTTGACTCTGCTCCTCTTCCAGCTTTTTTATTTCCCTCCCCATTGTTAAAGAAAATATCTTTCAATTCTGACATTCTTTTCTTCTGCCTCATTCTGTTATTGAGGCTTTCCACTGAATTTTTTATTTGTTCTATTGTGTCCTTCATTTCAAATTATTTGTCTTGATGATGTTTCAGCATTGCTATTGCCTGTAAGACATATTCCTTAAGTTTCTTGAATGCTGTTTTTACTTCTCATTGTTGTTTTTCTTTATACCAAGTTTTAAAAAATTCTTTCTTCCCCATTTTTGAGATTTCTTCCTCAGTTAATTCTGAGGTTCCTTTGTAGGGGAGACGTCAGTAATATTCATTGTGCCTCTGTCTCTTCTTTTGCTTTTCAGCATTGCACATCTGCCTAGCAGATACCTCTCCTTAGGGGACACTTCTAAATTGTGTTGCCCACTGGTCTACAGGTCAATTTTCCTTGTTTCATTTAGTACCTGGTTCTTTCTTCACAGTCACTTGTGCTACTTCCTCCAGTGAATTTCAGTCTCACGTTCTTGTGTTAGACTTCCACCATGGTCTCTGTAGTCCCAGCTCTCGGTTCTCCACTTTCTACCCCCTATGATCCTGTGCTATGGCTTCACCTTTGCCTCTACATCCTTTTTCCCACTCTCAGGTAGAACAGTGCTTTTGAGTAAAGAGTCACCAGCTATCCTAAGTTACAGGGTTGCCAGTGGTGCTGCTCTTGCTGAAACCTGCTGGCCATTAGATCTGAAGGCCACCAAGATCTATTTTGGGTGGAACCAATGATATAACATTTTGTTATTATTTTCCTATGAAACTCTGGCTCAGTGACTGCAACCCACTGTTGTTTCTTCAGTTGCTCAGCCTTATCCTAAGTACACAAAATGGCACCCCATGTGGCACTCATCGGAGTCTGGGCCTTCTAGTTGATAGATCTGGCACTACCTAGACCTATCTTGGATGGATTCTGTAGAATGCCTGGTCAGTAGTCTTTTCCCTATGGAACCAGTGCAATACATTGAGCCAGAAATTAGCTTGTTCCTGGCTCAGTGCATACACAGCTCTCACTGATCTCCAATCACAGCCCCACATCCTTTTTCCAAGTACACAGAAAGGCACGTGATATGACAATGGTGGGGGTCTGAGGCATGAAATCCACCCTTTTTCTGCACCTGACTGATTGGGCTCTGCCACTACATTCTGCTCATGGTAAAATCAAGCATATCAGCAGAATAGGCAGTTGTATGGTTGGATCCAACTCCTGAGCTTGAGGTGAACTCCCCTTCCCACAAGGCTGTTGATGAATCTCTGATTGCTGAACACTAACTGCCATCAGGGTACCTCTTCACTGCACCACTGCTCCACTGTCTTTCCTCTGCTTTCCCGTGTCCACAAGTCTGCAGTGTGTTTCTACTATTGGTCTGGCCTTTTCTGTTTCCTGGGATCCAAGCCTCTATGCCTTACCCTGGTTAATGATTCTCCATCTCCTTAATGTATCCCTTAATCCATTCCTGAGTCTTGTTTCCCCACTACATACTTTTGAATGTATCATTGGAACAGAGTACAAAAGCATTTTGTAAGTTATTGAATTTAATCCTGGTCTTATGCAATCTCAAGGAGGAAATGGTACTTTTTGTTGTTTTATAAGGTGATCCTGACTATGTGTGTTCTTTCAGTGTGATTTCACACATACAATAAATATTGGATTATTGTGAATTGATACTAACACTAATGTGTCATTCTTGCCCATAAACTGTTTCCTAATGGAATTCAATGGAGAGAGAGAGAAAGAGAGAGAGGGAGAGAGAGACCTTGCATCTGCTGGTTGATTCTTC